ATGTAAAATCTTTTGTATTTTGCATTTCTTTTATGGTAGAGGAAATAAATAGTGGTCCTATACCTGGTATCTACTACTTCGTAAATTGAGTAACTTTCTAGAAGGGACCCTGTTAATCCCTTTGGGAAGACTTTGAGATATGAGTTAATATAATTATAACATATAACACAATTAACATAATATAGCATAACATAACATAATTAGGTGTTAAGAGATTTTCCCTTGAGTTCTTTCTCTTCTGGAGTCAGAGTTTATTGAGCCAAAGTATAAGAAAAGCCTCACTCTCTTTCTGCAGAGGTCAGGCCTACCCCTAGAATGAACTTGATTTCAGTTGAGTCCACAGTGGGTATTATCTTGTGAGACAGAGCACCCTCTTCCCACTCTAGGCCATAGATGACACTGATAAAAATCTTAAATTCAAAAATTTACTGACTAAGTTTGTAAGTCAGATCCATCCCTGTAATCCTGGGTATAATCTGGTACTTTCTAAAACTTCCCCATCCTCGATAATGACCCCTACTTTGAGAAGCCCTTTCCCCTTTAACTCTACCCCAGATGCAGAATTTCATGGTCTCAGTGCCAAATCCAATCAGGATCACATTTCAGCATGACATTTCAGCATTATCTGTACAGGATGAGAGCACGTGCAGACAAAAACCGCATGACTAAATATAACTTGGATATTGTGTTTGGACCAACTCTGCTACACCCACAACAGACCTCTCTCCCAGCTGCCCATGCTCACTACCCTGCGCAGCTGGTTCAAGTGCTGTGGAATGATTTCCCTAGCCTCTTTGCTATCACTTGACACTTAAGCTTTCTTCCCTTACAAATGTGCTGAGTTGACCCTGGTTCTGAAAAAGGCAGTAGTGCCTTTATTTGTTAGATGGCAGGATCCTTTTCATTTTAGGGAGACCTCCTTCAGGTGGTGTGTGGTTTGACTCGTTTTCACTCAGATGGTGTTTTTGTTCAAAGAAACTAATCTTCTTCTGAGGATGGTAGGGGACCCTAAAGGCTGATCTCTGGTGTCTTCTTCCTGTTGCCTAGATGATTTTGTTTTTATTTCTGTGATTTGGGATTGAAAAACTCCAGCAGAAGGAATGCCTCCTCTCTCTTTTCCTCCACAGATCTGACCACACAACTTCCCTCCTACTCAAGAAGCTTGAGTCTCCCTGCTGCCTCTAAGATAAATTACAAAGTCCTCGGTCTGGCACTCAGAGCTCTTTGCAGTATAGCTCCAATGTATCTTTCTAGAATGATTCCACATTACTCCCCATTCTATATTCCAGTCGACCTAGCCTACCCATTGTTTCCTATATACGGCATTCCATCTCCTGTCTCTGACTTCACACAGTATAAGCTCCATGCCTGGAATGTCTTTCCCCTTATTTCACCCTGTGAAATCCTTACATCACTACAAGGCTTAATCACACCTCCTAAAGAAGACCTTTCCTTTCCTGATCCTCCCAATGCTGGGAGTGCTGTTCTTTCCTTTCTCCTCAAAATCACCTGGTAAATATTGATTTATCTATGTATACTGCATTCTCTCTCTCCCCCTCCCACCCCTTTAGAATGCAAGTTATAGCATTGAGAGCAGAAAATATTTACTTTTCTGATAGTCTTTGTGTAGCACAAGCTCTACAACTACTCTCTTAGCTTCTCATCACACTGGCAGTATGGGACCCCAGAGCTCATCTGTGACATTTTCCTTCAAGGTTCTAAAGCAGACCTGCACACCTTATAAACTTCTTCAGGCTGCAGATAGATTAGACTAGAGACTCATGTGACAAACAAGAGAGTGCACAGTGGCAACCCTGTATTTTACTCAGGCTGCCAGAAATCCTTTGATGGTCTATACGTTGTGCAGGCCTGTTCTAGAGGCAGCACTGAGAGGTTCTGGGTGACTGTTTTTTCTTAATTCTATAGCTCACAAACCCCCACCTGTGATTATATGTTGATACAAATTAGTTAGCCAAAAAGTCACTAAACTTTGCTTACCCTTTTGATACAACAATACTGCTACTAGGCTTATCTCTCAAAAAGATAAAAGAAGAGGGCAAAGACCAACATGCACAAAATATTTATAAAAGTACTTTCTATTGTAGCAAAGAACTGGAAACAAAATAGGTATCAAGCATTTGAGAAATGACTGAACAAATTTTCATATGAACTTAATAGAATATTATTGTGCATGAGAAATTGTGAAAGAGATAGATTCAGAGAACTCAAAGAAGACTTATATGAACTGATGCATAATGAAGTGAGAAGAACCAGGAAAATAATCTATACAATGACTCTGATACTATAAAGGAAAACATCTTTGAAAGACTTAAGATCTATAATCAATACAATGACTAACCATGACTCCAGAAGACTGATGATGATGAATCATGGTTCCCATCTCTTGGCATAGGTGATGGTATAGATTGAGACACACATGTTCAGATATGGGTAATATATGTATTTGACTAAATATATTTATTTTGTACATGGGAGGGCTTTTACTTTGGGGAGGGAATTGAGGGAGACTGGAGGGTAGTGAAAGTGGTATTAAAAAAAATCCAACCATAGAATTGCCTTATTTGTTCTGATGTATTGTGTATAGCACCCAAGTGTTAAACCATTGAGTGACACCAGCTGTATGATATCCAATTGCTAAGTTGGATCCCAGACAAAGAACTCCATTTCATATAAAAAGTACTGCTTTAGGTTAATTCAGTGAGGTGTCTACCCAGAACAAACTCAGGATGCTGGGAGTTCTCAGTACAGGTGATTGTTTTATCAGGGATGTTATGGAGGAATCTCAACGCTAGAAGTAAAAGCTTACACTCAGATTTCTTTTCTATCTCTTTAGTAAGATTCTTTTAGCTACTAAAAAAAAAAAAAGGAAGAGAAAGAGAGAGAAGAATACCAATCAATCTTTTGAAAAAATAGTAGAAAGCAGAAGGAAGTTCAAAAGGCAAGCAGGCCTGTTTTAGAACGCTCATGCTAACTTTAAAATATACATATAAAAATAAGCTGTACATTGCAGAAATTCACAATTTTATATGAAGCCTTCCTTTCTCTGTTTTTTGTATAGGGAAATGTTCATATTTGTTGGTGTTTGTTAAGCTTATAACAAAGCATTTAAAAAACACAAATGTTCAATAATTACCCCAAAAATCTGCTAAAAAGAAATTCTAATTAAAACCACCTATTAAATTAGTTGGGTTAAAAATTATGAAGTTCAAAACTGGCATACCATTATATACCATACATACCATAAGCATACTATTACACTGTCAGGGCAGCAGGAATCAATACAATCTTTTAGGAAAACAGTATGGGATCACACAAAACTTTAAAACCATGCATATCCTTTGACTCAATGATCCTATAACTAGAATCCTAAGAAAGTCATTGATTGGGCAGGGGAGGTGCATAAAAATATTAATTTTAACATTATACATAACAAAAAAAACCAACTCAACATCTCCAACCATTGAGGAATAGCTAAACAAACTGCTATAAATTAATATAAGAATAGTAATATGAATAAAAGTAGTACTGTCATAAGAAATGACAAATATGAAGAGTACAAAGATATATAGAAAGGCTTATGAAGATATTCAAAGTGAAGAAAGCAGCATTAAAACAACAATGTATACATTGGCTACAACTGTTTTTGAAAAAAATAGTGAGGAAATTCAGATAAGAAGAGTTGAAAAGAGTAAGGATGCAAACAATATTTTATTGCTACCTTCATAAAATTAACATGCACAATTTTTAAACAAAGTGTAACAAGATTTAATAATTTTATTCTTTATACATATAAACATTTGCTTGTGTTGATGGTTGCTAAGTTTAGAATTTTTAAGAGAGATATACAAACTATAATTACCTAAATTTGAATTGTTCTCCTATAAATTTTTCTTTTATCTCCTGTTAATATTTTAAAATTCCTAATCATATTTAAACACTATATATTTTTATACATGTGTATATATGTGTATATTATGTATACATGTATATATTTATATACATATGTGTATATGTGTATATTATGTATATATGTATATGTATGTGTGTGTGTGTGTGTGTGTGTGTGTGTGTGTGTGTGTGTGTGTGTTAAACTCTAATCTCCTGAAAAAAGCAGAAGCCAAAGTGGTCAAATATTCTTTCACAATTTATTGATTTTTTTTCTCCCTGGCACACATAACTCTGACATTACAACAGCAGAATCAAATATTCTAGAAATGGGACAAATCTTAGAAGTCAACTAATCTAATTTCCTGATTGTATAAATGAGTAAACTGAGGCACAATGAGGTTAAATGGCTTACCCCTGATTACATAGCTTGTAAATAGCTGAGCCAGGATGAGAACACAGGTCATCTGAATCTCAATAAAATTCAAATGCTCTTCTCCCTCCATAGCACACAGATTGTGCAGCTCTACAGAAATTTTAAAAAAAAATTTCTTAAACTGAAATTCTTTTGTGACTTTTTGATGAGCTTTTACTGGTGGAATTTTTTAGCAAAACTTTTGATATCATTCTAATTACAGAAGAGGCAGCGTGGTGTAGTGGTTGGACAACTTGCCTGGGTGTCAGGAAGACTTAGGATTTCAAGCCCTGGCGTTGCCACATACTTCTGTGTAACTCGGGGCTAGTTACTTCACCTATCAGCCTTTCTCTAAACCTTTAGATTTCAAAGACATCACCTGTCCTCATTGGTAGAGGAATTCCTCACAAGGAGTGCCCTACACTGATGAAATCATCAGTGAGATGCCAAAATATTATTGGGTAAGTATTTTTAAATTCAAACATTTGATTTTAATTATAAACATGCTAAAGTTTTACCACGTAATAATGGGGAGGGGGTGCAGTTGCATTTCCATGCAATAGCAGAGTCAAAAAAGCTACCAAATTTCATGTCAGTCCCACTTAACTTTAGTGGCTTCTTAAAAGCCAAGAATCCCGGCCATAAGTTTGCATTTGGGCATTGAGAACTCTCTGCTTACCTGGTGCTCTGCCCGCTTCACTAACAAATATCCTTCAAAGTACAAGGGCAGGGATGTGATCCTCATTCTCTCCTGAAAAATTCGCCGAGGGGCCGCCTTGGGGGGCTTCTTTGCCATCATAACCTCTATCTTTGGAGAGCGTGGGAACGTTTTGGTATCAACTGTCTCTAGCCTCAGTCAAAGAGAGCTCTCTGTCCCTGGTGTGATAGGAAAAGAAAACAGTGCAAAGAGGAAGTTCTCGCACTTGTTTTTTAAAACAACCCCTCCCCTTCTCCCTCTCTCCCTCCCATTCTCTCTTCCTCCCCAGCCAGCCTTCTATTTTTCTTTTTTTTCTTTGTAATGTGAGGAAGGAATGGGAATGGGCTCATTTTTATTTGACTATAGTCATACCTGGCACTGAGACTTAAAGGAGCAAATAAACAAAAGATTAATACCACCCTAGGACTAAAAGGACAGAATTAAAATGAAATTCAATACCTGCTGCCCTATTCTGGGGGTAGGGGAGGGAGAGAACTTTAGGGAAATATCTGAAAAGTACTCTTATGTTTTTTGCAGTGAAATACAGTAGAAACCACACTGGCCTTGGTATCAAGAGAGACCTGAGTTCAATTCCCAAATACAGCATTTACTTGGAGTGTGACCATGCACTAGTGAATTAGTTTTCTTGCATTAGTAAAGTGGAGGAAATAATACCTAAAGCACTTACCTTAAGGGAGCAGCTAGGTAGTGCAATGGATAGAATGCTGGGCCTGAAGTCAGGAAGACTCATTTTCCTGAGTTCAAATATGATCTCAGACACTTACTGGCTGTGTGACCCTGGGCAAATCTCTTAATCCTGTTTGCCTCGATTCCAAATCTGTAAAAAGAGTTGTTTTTCCGGCATGTCCAACTCTTTGTGACCCCATTTTGGATTTTCTTGGCAAAGATACTGGAATGGTTTGCTGTTTTCTTCTCTAGCTCATTTTACAAATGAGGAAACTGAGACGAACAGGGTTAAATGACTTGCCCAGGGTCACACTGCTAATAAGTGTCTGAGTTCAGATTTGAACTCACAAAGATGAGTCCTGACATGAGGCCCAAGCACTCTATCCATTGCACCACCTAGCTGCCCTCTGTAAATGGAAATAGAGAAGGAAATGGTAAAGCACTCCAGTTTCTTTGCCAAGAAACCCCAAATGGGTACTGACTCACAAAGAGTCAGACATGACTGAAAACAACCTTACCGGGTTGTTTTGAGGATCAAATGAGGTTATGTTATGTAGAGTGTTGTGCATACTTAAAAGCACCATAGCTACGTGCACACAAACAATTTAGAGCGCTCTCAGGGATTAATTTTATTCCTAGTCCCAGAAATTGACCTGTATTGCAATACTTTCCTTCACAGAATAATATCATTAGAATTCTCTTCATAGGCCATAGCATCTAGGATCCTAAATCTAGGGCTGGAGGGGACATCAAATAGTCCAACGTCATCATTTTAAAGATGAGGCTATTGAGTACTAAGTAGGTTACTTACCTAAGGGCATATAGGCAGTATGTATCTGAAGAGGGATTTGAACCCAGATTGATTCTTTGACTCCAGATCCAGTGCTAGATAAATGAATATAAATACATATGTATACACGTATATGTTACATATACAAATTACATATATATACATATATATTATATATATAAAATATCTACAGATTTTGTCCATATTTATGTGGGTACTTGTTTTCCTCCAATAGAGTGTAAGCTCTTTGAGGGCAAGGACTGCTTCATTTTCACCTTTATAACTCCAGAACCTGTGCATTACAAAACAAACTTAATGGTTTAAATTTAAAACTCATTTATATTCTATGTCACTTATGCTTTCAATATTAGTTTTAATGTGGGTATTCATTTATTAAAAATTAAAATTTTACTACATTCTTTTGTAAATGGAAATTTAGAATATCCAAGATGGGTTTTCTTTCAAAATGTTTCAGGGATAATAGTAATTTTTCATGTTGACATGTTGATGGCACCTCTTATTGCTGCAGTAATCCCTATTATTTCGGTGCCCCAAAATAGATATTTGATGCCCAGTCATTCTCGTTAGCTCTTCCCTCCCATCCTTGCTTGTGTCCTATGATTAGCACCTGATATCTTCTGACTGTTTGAATGGGAATGAGGATAGTAGAAGGACCAGCTCTTCCTCTACCTACATCCTGTCATTAGATGTAGTCACCCAAAGGGTCACAGGATTGAAGGAGAAGTTTTCTATCAGGAGTCAAAGGGGCAGACTGCCTTAAATCCACAGATTTAGATACAATGAATCATGTTGACTGGTGAGGAGTCGGAGGATTTCTATTCATTCAATGGGGTCAAATTCCCCTCCCCCAGAATTATTTCTTTCTGGTAGAGCTTTCAGTATAGATGTGTGGTGTTGTCTCACTCTTGAGGAGAGGACTGAGGAACCATAGAAGAATGTGACCCATTCTGAACAGAATAGGTAGGGTTACCATGCAGGCAGGGCTTCTAGAGTGTTTACTCTTGACCCTGCTTCCTATCTGTCTCCTTTTCTAGATGGCAACAAGAACAGTCACCTCTGGGTACTCTTGCTACATTTCCCTTCCTTTCCGGTGGCCCAGGAAAGTGGCAATTCTTAGCTGGACTCCAAGCTTCTTATCATCCCTGCCAGCCACAAGGACATATTGCAGCCTGACCTTGCTCTCTGTCCTGCACCTACTCTAATCTAGAGCTGAGTCCAGCAGTTCTCACTGTGAGAAATTTTTCCTTAATTCAAGTGTAAATTTGCTTCTTTTCAATTTCTATATGTTGTCCCTAGGCCTGCCTTCTAGATCTAAACCAAAGGAATCTAATCTTCTTTTCATGTCCCTAGCACTAGAGATACCTGAAGTTAGCTCTCATGGTTTACTCTAAGCCTTTTATTCTCAGTTGATGATCAATCAACAAGTACTTATTAAGTACTTGAGGCACTGGATATACAAGTACAAAGAATGAACATATATATATATATATATATATATATATGTATAGCTATGTGCACATCTATATTTACACACATATACAAATATATATACACATATACTTGTTTCTCATATATGTATATATATACTCCAGTTATCAATATCTTTTCTTTCTTTTTTTGCTTTAAATACTTTTCTTTTGTTAAATATTTTCCAATTAAGGTAAAAAAGTTAACTATCATTTTTTTTAAATTTTGAGTTCCAAATGTTCTTCTTCCCTCCAATTCCTCCCACCTCTTTGAGAAGGTAAGAATTTTGATTTCAATACATGTATGAGATCATTCAAAACATTTCCATATTAGCCATGTTGAAAAAGAAAACAAAAGCAAAATAAAACAACAAAAAATAAAGTTTTAAAAAGTATGCTTCAATCTATTGTATTCAGAGTTCATCAGCTCTCTTTGGAAGTGGATAGCATTTTTCATCATGGGTCCTTTGGAATTGTCTTGGATTGTTGTCTTGATCAGAGTAGCTAAATCTTTCATGGGTGATCTTCCCAGGTTTTTCTGAAACCATCCTGCTATCATTTCTTACAGTACAATAGTATTCCAACCCAATCATCTGCCACAACTTGTTCACTTCTTTGTGATTATCACTTCTGTTTGTAGATGTTTGTTATCCATCCCCTTTATAGTATGAAGTCAAGATCACTGTCTTATAATTTGCAACTCTATTCTCTTCCCTTTTTTGAAAACCAGGACATTTGACCTTCTCCACTTCTTCCAAAGATCACTAACTCTGTGAAACACATCCTAATTATTGTAGTGTCTGAATATGGAGCTCATCTCTACTTGATGAAGTGCAAGAGAAAGCACATGTTTACTTATACTGGGAAACAACTCCCTATTAGCTACACACATTAGGTGATTAATAAATGTTTATTTATGGACTGACTGACTTCTGCTCCAGTCAGAGTGCATCTTGACTATTATTGTATTTATTTCTGGATACCACATATTAGAAAAGACATTGGGAGCCAAGATGGCAGACTAGAGAAAGTACTTAGCTATGTTATCCCAACATTTCCCTCTAAATAATTTCAAAATAATGTCTCTAATTGAATTCTGGAGTAGCAGAGCCAACAAACGGTCGGAGTAAGACACTCTTCCAGCCCAAGACAACAAAGGAGGCGGGAGAGAGGGATCTGCAGTACAGGAGAGGAGGCTGTCCTGGAGCTCACAGGGATGAAACTCCAGCATCAGAACTAAGTGGTGGCAACAGAACCAGTAGCTGCTTCAGGAGCCCTCAAGTCAGAGATGGTAAAGGGACCCAGCAACTAACTGGTTAGAAAGATATTATAGTTGTCACGCAACCTAATTTCGTTTGTCTTTCCTTAAAACAGACTCTGTGATGGTTGACACAGTGTACCCCTGTGTTAGTACTGGATGCCAGAGCAGATGCTGTTTGGCAACTCCATTGGTTATGTCTACTTCTGGGTTATAGTTCAAAGGCAGAGAGGAGCACTTTCCATCAAGAGAGTGGAAGCCCAGAAGGGCAGTATCACTTCCAGCCCCAAGGGATCAGGGACCCTGAGGAACAGTATCATTTCCAGTCCCAAGAAAGGAAGGGTCCAAAGGAACAGTATTGATTGCAATCCCAAGGAATCAGGGACTCTTCCTGGGTAAAGAAGAGACTGTAGACCAAGAAAGCAGCTTCTCTCCATATCATACCACCATAGAAGCAAAGTAAGAATTAAGGAGCTCTGCTGTTTCCTTCTTATCAATGACAGACTGCTTAACTGTGTTCAATCACCTTCGCACTGGGCTGGGCATTCATATTAATCTCCCAGTAGTTTAAGTCTGATACTGGAATGAAATGAGGCACTTATAGACTGATCAACATAACAAAAGAAGATCCAGTTAGCTGTAACAGGGGAAAGATATTCAACAAGAATATGTATGGAAGACACTGAAAATTGATTCAATTGAGGAGAACTCCCCCACCTCTGAGTTGCCTGTGGCAGTCCACCAAGGATTAGGGAGCACTTGGAGCTCCTCATGACTTTTTTGTACTCAGATCACCAGGAAGTGATGTCAATAGTCTTCAATTAAATTTGGAGTTGGGATTCTTAATCTGGAGTCTATAGACAGATTTCAGGGGCTCTGTGAACTTAGATGGGAATTTACATCTTTATCTTAGTGAAATTTTCCATTGCCTTCAATTTATTTTATGCATTTAAAAACATTACTTTGGAGTCCATAACACACAAAAAGGGTTAATAAACCCTGTTCTAGAGGACAGCTTTAATACATTTAAGAAAAAAGTAGCCTAACTTGTATAGGATGAGGAATTAGAATATTGTTCCCATTGCAAGTATACATAGGTAGGAAAAACACCTGACAGTAATGTTAGCAAGGGTCCTTTAGGAACCTGAGTCTAGTGAAGGGCTGTGCTATGGATTCTGCTTTGTCTCACAGAGAATCTGAGAGGTTTCAGGTTGTCAAAAGGAATCTTGGAGGCCTTACTTGTCCTCATATTATCATAGTGTGTTCTCCTTTGCTGAATCCCTTCCACCCATAACTCAAAACTGTTGGTATACCCCAATAGACTCTGTTCTGGTCACTCTTTTCTCTCTACTCTGTCAGTGACATTCTCAAAATTATCATTTCTATATACATGACTCCTAGATCTAAAAATCCAGCCCTAATCTCCTGAGCTCCAGGCCTATTATTACCAAATGTTATTAGACACTTCAAATTGGACATCCCATAGGTATCTTAAACTTAGCATATCCAAAACAGAACTCATTATTTTTCTCCCAAAACCCACTTGTCTTCCTATCTTCCATATTTCTGTCAAGGGCAATCCCATACTTCCAAGAATTCTCAACTCCTCACTCTTCATTCATTCCACACATCCAAATAATTTCCAAGTGTGTCTTTCCCTTTTCTAATCCATCCTCCACCAAGCTGCCAACCTTTTCCTAACATACAGGTCTAGCCATGTCATTTCCCTGCTCAATGTGGGCTATCTCTGTTATTTGTAGGGGTTTTAGTTGGGGAGAAATGGGGGAGGTTCTCCTCACTTCTTCCCATCCTTGCTTGTGCCCTATGGTTGGCACTTGATTTCTTCTGACTGTTCAAGTGGGGACATGAATGGTAGAAGGACCTGACCCTCCTTTACCTATATCCTATCATTAGAGGTGTAGTCCCCAAAGAGGTCACTATTCCTTATTATCTCTAGGACCAAATTAAAACTCTTCTGTTTAGCATTTAAAGCTATGCACAACCTGCCTCTAATCTACATTTTTAGTGTTATTCCTACTCTTCAGACACTATTTGTTCTGGTTAATCAATTAGCCAACAAACATTTAAGTGCTTACAATGTGCTAGGCTAAGCACTGGAGAGACAAAGAAAGGCAAAAATAGTCCCTGGCCTCAAGGACCTTGAGATGTGGTAGAAGAAACAACAGTGAATTAGGTACATACATGGTACATACGAAGTAAATGAAAGGTAACCTTAGAGTAGAAGGTGGTAGCAGATGGGAGAAGAAGGAGTTGGGAAAGCCCTCCTGCAGAAAGTGGGATTTGAGATAAATCTTGAAAGAAGCCAGAGACTATGAGGCAGAGGT